CCTGCCAATTATTATCTTCTCAATTAGCCCATGCGTCCAAGAATAGTGCTCTCATCGATGTCATACAATAATACCAAGTGGTCACTCATGCAAACATTCAATCAATTCTTGCAAGCTTCGATGCCAAACACGCTTATCAATCACAAAGCATTACTATCATTTCTTGGCATAACAATAAAAATAGTTTAATTCCAAAAATCTCATAAGTTTTCCTTGAAAACTTCCGTTCAAAACAATTAGTCATATAATCAATTTAATGCAACATTTCACGACATAATCGTCACCATACAAGCTGGAAATCATAATTTGAGATTCAAGATTTTTCCGAAATAATAATAAATAACTTCGGAAATTAATTATTTAATAATATCCGAAAATAATTTATTTTCTAAAATTCGAAATATTTTCTCGAATCAAAATCATTCCAATCATTTGCTAAAAATGCCAATTTATACGGTAAAATCCAACATTGGCATCACAATTCGGTATTGAAAATCATTCAAAATTCTACTATTTAATTTTCGGAAATTAATTATTTAATAATAAAATATTAATATTTAAATCCGAAAATAATAAAATAATAATTAATTCCGAAAATAATAATTTAATAAAATAATCGATAACTTATCACCACACGACGATAGCTTATCACGCAATAATCATAGCTTATCGAATAAATAACGATAACCTATCACCTAATTCTAATTAACTAAACATAATCTTAATTAAACTCAATCTAAACTACCCTAAGCAAGTTTAACACCCTAAACACGGGATTAGGGGTTAACTTACTCGGCTAACGACGGCGACGACGCGAGGACGACGGCGGCGACAAGGGCGGTCCGCGGTGTCCTCGGAATGCTCCGGCGAGCGGCGAACGGGCGCGACAAAGAAACGGCCGCCAGGTGGGGCTGCTCCGGCGCAGCCTGGGCTGTTCCGGCGGCTGGGGGGCAACGGCAGACGGCTCGGCCAAGACAGCTGCGAGGGAGTGACGGAGGTGGACGACGCGCGGCGACGGGACCAGCAGGACGGCTGACTGGGTGGCTGGCCAACGCCGGGCAGTGATAGGAGCGGCGGTGAGCCTGCTACGCGCGCGGACAGGGGAAAGGAGGAGTGGTGACGACGGCGGCGCGGCTCGGTCGGGGCGACGGTGGCTGGGCTGGTCGTCGGCGAGGCGCAGTTGGCGTCGGTTGGACAACAAGGGGAAGCAGAAGCCAGAAGCTGCGGCGTCGGGGGAGGAGAAGGGGGGGAGAAGGAAGAAAGAAAAGGGAAGAAAAAGGAAAAGAAAGAAAAGAGAGAGAGAGAAGAGTAGGTGGGGGTTGGTCAGCAGGGAGTGGGGGTGTCAGACACGCAAAAGGGGGGGACCGGCGGGAAAAGAGGGGAGGAGATAGAGAGTAGTCAAATCGCAATAATCGCGATTCAACGGCCACGATTCGAATTAAAAAACGATCTAACGGTTCCCGATAAATCCTAATTAATAATTTAGGATTTGGCCAAAGGGTATTAATAAAAACACACCGCGAGAGAGGTCTACTAGTCCAAATCCGCACCCGGTCAAAAACTCACTTTCCACATATCCCGTGCAATATCGAGGTTGGCCACAATAATATCGACACCATCCAATTAAATTCGTTCCGGAATTCCGAGAAATTCGGCATCAAAGTTTGGGCTCTAAATAACGGCCAAATTCAATCGAATGCGATTCTAGCGAAATCTCAATTTTAAAAACAATAACCGGGAGTGATCAGTTCCCGAGCGAGATTTTACTATAAACACACCGAGGAATTTCACGTTTTATAAATCCCAAAAATTGGCCGAAATTCGGAATGTCACACCCAATGCCCAAAAAATTGAGATCCTGAGGGCAAGACTTGAGACCCTAGTGCCGGAGCTTGGGACACCAAGGATCGAGGATAGGATAGATACTCGAGGGTTGAGCACCATGAGCCGTGTTCAGTTCAAACTAGGGACCCCAACGCCCGAGCCGGGGACCTTACAGGTAGAGTTTGAGACTCTGCTGCCTAGGCCATGAACAAAAACATGAGAAGTCTTGGGGCATAACCAGAGACGCTATTACCTAGAGTTTGACCAAAAGCATGAGGACTAAAGACATGTGATTTTAAAGCTCCGTTTATTTCGCGAAAAATATTACGTTTTTGGAAAATATTTTCCTAGAAGCCATTTTTTAGAAAAATAACAATATTTTCTGGTGTTCGGTTGAAACATGAAAATGAACTGGAAAATATTTTTAGTCGTTTGGTATGGAAAATCCTCATTGCACTCCTTTTAAAAAAATATTATTTTTTTAAATAGATTTTTAATTATTTTATTTTTGAATTTTTTTAATAATTTTTAATTTTTCTTTTTTTCTCTTTTTTTTATTTTCTTTCTTCCCGGCGACCGGTCACAAGCGAGGCTCGGCCTCGCCCAAGGCCAGCGAGCTGCTCAAGCTCACCGACGTTGGGTGAGCCGAGGGCTGAGGTCAACAAGGCGAGTCTCGGCCTCGCTCGAGCTAGCCAGCCTTGGGCGAGTGAGGCCGAGCCTCACCCGTGGGCAGTCACCGTGGGCAGCAACCGGCCAAGGAGGAACAAAATGAAAAACAAAGAAAAGGAAAAGAAAAGAAAAAAAGAATTAAAAATTATTTTAAAAAATAAAAGTAAAATGTGTTTGGTGAAAGAAGATATGGAAAATGTTTTCTGCTTTCTGAAAAGAGGAAAATATTTTCCTCACTTTTGAAGGTGTCTTTTACATTGGTGGAAAATGTTTTCATTGACTAGTTTATTTTCCTTGAACCGAACGGAGCCTAAATTAATGTTCGAAATCAGTGCAAACAACTAAAAATAAATACTATTATTACGTGAAACTTGAGTACTTAGGAATTCTTAGTGGATTCCTTATCACTAAAACCGAATCGGCCTTAAAGTTCTCGTGAAGTTCACCTAGTATCAATCGGAAATACATCCAAAAAGGACATTTGGGTAGATCTGAAAGATATCAACAATGGCGCTTCTAGGTCCGTAGGCAAAAATGCGGCCCGTCCCATTTTTAGCTGTAATTTTCCTGAACATGTCGTAATTTACCTGAAATTATCGTAAGGTCGGTGATACTTGAAGATAATAATTTAACTTTATGGGTCGCTCGTTTACACTTGTGGCCATAATATACCTATAATAACTTTAGAAATGAATCTAAAAAGAAGAACTTATATCATAAGGTCGATGATAATTGTAGATAGCAATTTAACTTTATGAGTTGTAACTCGTTTACACTTGTAATTGTATGGGCCATAATTTACCCATAATAGCCTTAGACAATGAATCTAAAAAAAAAACTTAAATCGTAAGGACGGTGGCACTTGTAGATAGTAATTTAACTTTATGAGTCCTAATTCGTTCACACTTGTAATTTTATGGACCATAATTTACCCGTAATAGCCTTGGACAATGAATCTAGAAAGAACTTATATCATTCCCAAGTGCACATTTACCTCTAAATACCCTAAGCAACCTAGTAAAAGTTAATTAATCTCATCTATTACTTTTATTACGGGAGAGATAATCTTTTGATGTCTCCCACTTTAACTTAATATTTCAAGTAATTTTTTATGGAATGAATAGCCAATAAAGGTCTCCACTAGCTGTTGTATTGGTGAATGTCTCGCACTTCCCCTCCTTTAAATCAAAGTTGTTTATCATCTCTCTCCATCTATTTATTTTTCAGCATTATTCATAGCGACAATTTATGTTCTACGAAGAGAGGTGTACATAGCGACTACTGGATTGTCGTGAAGCCATGCTTAGCGGGGGTTGTGTGCTAGTTGGGTACTGAAGCAAAGACTCCGAAACCCAAATTTGCTCCTTGTAACACTACAATTAAAGTCATCACTAGGTTTTCTATTGAATCCAAAATTCCAAATTATATTAATGACATCTTAATACGATAATGCCAAATATGATAAGATCCGTAATAATAGTCATAAACATATACCATCTGATGATGGCCATGAAAGGGGAACTGTATCACCCGTTTGTATCTGCCACATATTGTCACGGGACCAAATGGTCTCCATATGTCTCTATGCCTGTGTAATACTAATACTAGTATAATCGAGGAGAATCTTCATAAGTTATTGCACTAGTTGATGAAGTGGATATAGTATCATTGCCTTTGTTAGTTCAAGTTCCACCATCCCTTGTTGACATTTCTGCCGGATAAAAAAGTGGTTTGGGAGTATTTGTAGATCATCTACTTCTCCTTCTAGCATTTCCAGAACTTTGCACATTGAAGGGCAATCGCTTGGATTCAATTGAACGCACCAAAAAGCAACTAGTATCATGTCATTACTATTCTCCTATCCTCCTCTCTACCTTGTTTTCACTGGAACATCCAATCCTTCACAAAGTTGGTCATGAACCCATAAAGGAAAGTAAATCGGGCTTGAATGCTTTGTTTATGCATCTAGATTCTTCCTTCTATTGGCCATTTCCATCAACAATTTCCTAACATTGTGGACATCGTCTTTGTAAGAGATGCCCCCGAGGTTCCTGTAGACGAACTCCGGAGCCATGTATACCAAGGTTTCTCTCGCAGTAGTCAAAGACACAGTGTTGTCGTCCGTGGGATACAATCTTGCGAGCCCAAAGTCAGAAATTTTTGGGGTGAAATCCCTATCGAGAAGAATGTTGTGATGTTTAATATCAAAGTGTAGAATTTGCATGTCGCAATCTCAATGAAGATACTCAATCCCTCTAACCACTCCGAGAGTAATCTCGTACACTTCTTTGCAATCAAGAGAAGTCCCTTGTCCTTGTGAAAAGATGTGCCTATCCAAAGACCCATTGCGCGTGAAATCATAGACAAGAGCTTGTTTGGAGCCATCAAAGCAAAAACCAATGAGTCCAACCACATTAACATGATGAATTCTTCCGATTGTAGCTTTCACTGATGAAGTCCTGCCCATCCGAATTCCCCTTCTTTAGAATCTTCACTGCCACCTCCTGGCCGCTCCGGAGTCTTCCTTTGAACATGGAACCGTACCCTCCCTCACCTAGTCTGTCCTTAAGACCACCCGTCCGAGTAAGAGTATCTTATAGGTAAGAAGTTATTGTTAGATTGCAAAAATTCTTCAGCGTTTTGATTTATTGCTAAGTGTCTTCTCCATATGTGTAGGAGCAACATCGTCACCAATGGGGCTCCCAAGATGAATTTCACAACCACGAATGGCACTGTATGTTGGGATAAACGCAAGAAAACTGCGGGTGTGCTAAATGCTTGCATTTAGTAACATTACATCAATTTCACAAAGAGAAGGTTGTAGTAATGTTACCGATTCCATTTTCCGAGAGCATTTGAATTACCCAGACGATAAACAAGAGGTAACGGTCGATTTTCCCTGCAAGAGATGTAGAGGTTAAACACGTGACAAATGAAAGCTGAAGAAATATAAAAAGATACTTAATTAGACCATAATCAAACCATGAGTATATCAGGTCCATCCACTAAGATTTGTTGGCTGAATTCAAATTAAATAAATAGACAAATGAATAATTTATTAATATACGCACAAAATACCAAAACAGCATTTAACTAACTACTTGATCTTAATGGCCATTTTCAAATCACATGGGCTGTGAAAAGATATATAGATGACCGAGCTCAATTTCATGTTTAGATGAAATTTCACAGGAGTCTCACAATTATCTTTTTGTTGAGAAAATTGAACGAATCAAAAGTCCTTACCTTTCTTGGCTTGGCAATAAATTTGGTGCTTGTCGTTGATGTTGCACGTATAACAATCTTTGAACTTCATCTTACAGGCTTTTTGACGCCATGAAAGCTCAAACCCATAAACCATCTGTTCATGAATTTGCGCATAGGAACGAAGATGATTGCCATCAACCCACCATGGTATCATTGCGCTATGCTCAATGGTGGGGAAAATTGTCAAATCAGTCCTAAACCTATTGTATGGCGGCCAATTCAGTCATAAACCTTTTAATTTTGTCAATTTAGTCCTAAACCTTTTAAATTCTTGCCAATTGAGTCCTTCCGGCCAATTTTGGCCGGCCGGCACTGACGTGGCCGCCGGCCGGCGCCTGCCGTCCGGTCAACGCTGACGTGGCCGCCGGTCGGCGCCGGCTATCCTGTCAACGCTGACGTGGCAATTTTTAATTATTTTTTTCAATTTTTTAATCTTTTTTTTCTTTTTCTTCTTTTTTTTTTTTCGCTGTCTCTCCTCCCGGCCGGTCCGACGGCCGCGGCCGGCCAGAGGGGAGGGCCAGCAGGCCTCTAGCGAAGCTCGCCCGCGGCCACCGGCGAGGCGAGCCTCGCCGGCCCCTGGCTGGGCGAGGCGAGGTCGGCCTCGCCTCGCCGTCGCGACCCGGGCGAGGTCGAGCCTCGCCGTCGCACGGGTCGCAACGGCGAGGTCGAGCCTCGCCATCGCCCTCGGGTCACAACGGCGAGGTCGAGCCTCGCCGGACCCAGGGTGACGGCGAGGCGAGGCGAGGTCAAGCCTCACCGTCGCGATCGAGGCGAGGCGAGGCTCGACCTCGCCGTCGTCGCGACCCGGGCGACGGTGAGGCTCGACCTCGCCGTTGCGACCCAGGCGACGGCGAGGCTCGACCTCGCCTCGCCTCGCCCAGCCAGGGGCCGGCGAGGCTCGCCCTCGCCGGTGGCCGGCGGGGCGAGCTTCGCCAGAGGCCTCGCCAACCCTCCCCTCTGGCCGGCCGCCGGACCGGCCAGAGGGGAGACAGCAAAAAAAAAAGAAGAAAAGGAAAAAAAAGATTAAAAAATTGAAAAAAATAATTAAAAATTGCCACGTCAGCGTTGATCGGACGGTCGGCGCCGGCCGGCGGCCACGTCAGCGCCGGCCGGCCAAAATTGACCGGAACGACTCAATTGGCAAGAATTTAAAAGGTTTAGGACTGAATTGGCAAAATTAAAAGGTTTAGGACTGAATTGGCCGCCGTACAATAGGTTTAGGACTGATTTGATAATTTCCCCTTCAATGGTGCAAGAAGTTTCCACCCACGAGACCTTCGGATCGACCACGGCATATACTTGCCTTCTTGTCCTAGAGAATTCTGAAAATTCGACCCCATCAAGGCAAGAGGAAGCGTTAATGTAATATCGAGAATCAACAGACTTCGTACAATCCACAATTGCCACAATCTTGGATAACTGTGGACCCGTGTACATGTTTTTCCCGCATACATATCGAACCGGATCGTAGTTGAAATTGCCGCATGACAAAGAGCGAAGAGGAAGAGACAAGCAATTACCCTTTCGTAGCCCAACATCGGTGAGCCATGTATTGTACATAGTACTGGCCCGAGTACAAATCTAGAGCGATGCGGCTATATATGCAGGCTAGTTTATAGTTTTGGTCGTCGCAGTCCTTTGGGTCGCCTTTCAACCTAAATGGTTTGCTTATGTTGGGGACCTCGCCGCAAGAGCTGGTGCACTAACTATTTTCGACAATGATGCTAAAAGACGAATGTAGAAGAAGAAGAAGAAGAAGAAGAAGAAGAAGAAATAGAACAAGGGGTTGATCTATGAGCATCGGTTATGCAATAGCATAGAGCACGAGTTAATCAAGCAAATCTAGTGTCTAGTGTTGAGATGCAAAAGAAAGATAGATAAATACGAGAGAAATAATTTTAGTGGCTCTGTTTTTTTCTTGAAATAATGAGGAGAGAAGGAAAAAATCTCCGACTACAAACTAATTGTGTGGAAGTGAGTGCTTTGGGGTGTAGCGACCAAAAAAAAAGGGACGTATGAAAGAAGCAATAGTGTGGGAATGGTTGGCTGAAAAGTCAAAGCCGGTCGACGGACGACACAAGCACAAGGGGCCAAGTTATGCACTGCAACGTGATTTATGCCTCTTCATGCGTTCCCAGAACAGTTCATGTGTGTCGCACGTGTTAAAGATCACAAATTTTCTTGAAGATGTAACAAACAAAATGTGATTTAACTATGATTTGAGGATTCTTTATTGAACTTTGAGTGTTATTAAATAAATGATATGCATTGATAAACCTTTGTTCTTATTCGTAGTGACATACATCCATGATTGTAACATCCATTCATAGTTCAAATACTTAAAGGCTCTCTGAGTGAGTAATTATTCTCACATATTGTAATTTTCCATGATCAACAATAACACATCTTCTTGAAGATGTACATAAATCGAATGATCCGTATGTCGAAATTTTCTTTATTCAACAATAACATTGGCAACGATAAGAAAAAGATAATAACATTGGCAATCTTATAGTCATTAGTTTTTCTTAAATGTCCGTAAGCAACTATCCCCTTTAAAATAATCCGACAGTCGGAAATTGAATCTTTTGATCCGATAGTCCCGATTACGTATAGGACCAATTTTTCTGTAAAAAAGATTTTTACTGGCAATGAAATGGAAAAAATTCAAAACAATCTGGGAAAAGAGTAATGGGAGAGTCAATCATCAACGTATAGTTATCACTTTGTCTATACATGCTAAGTTGCTAACGTCCACAAAAATTCTGTGAGTTTTTCTGCCTTTGTTTTTTTCCCTCTTAGGCTAAAAGAGATTTGTGGCAGTGAGTTAGAAATGAAGGGAGAGAGGTTTGGATTCGTTCTCTAGTCTGTTTTAGTAGCCGGCGCTGGACAGTGCTATAACCACAGAAGATAGCACCGCACATCAAAGTCGAAGCTCCTCTTAGATAAGTAATCACGAGATTGTTGTTTATCATCTCTCCTAAATTTTGTCATTTCTCTTCATCCGTCATTTTTATTCGTATCGACAATTGGCATGAAGTGCATACATAACGACCACCGTAGTCTCGGGAAGTCATGCGTAGTGTGCTAGTTAGTATTTTAAGCAAAGACTGCAAAACCCAGACACGCTCCTCGCAAGACTATGCTGAAAGTCATAACTAGATTTTCTAGCGGATCTAAAAGTCCAAATTATAATCAATGACATATTTAATATGAAAATGGAAAAAATGATACAATCACAATTATGATCCATCAAAATAGTCACAAATACATTCAATCTCATGATGGCCATGAAAGGGGAGATGAGCAATTTCCCTTTCTCAGCCCAACATTAGCAATTCTAATTGTGTAGTTGGTATAGTCGATGTACCGTACATAGTACTTGCTGAGTACAAATCGAGAATGGTGCGTTCTTTATTCAGGGTAGCTCATAGTTAGGGTCGTCGCAGACTTTCGGGTCATCTCTAAGTCAAAACGGGTAGCTTATATTCGCGAACTCGCCGCAAGAGGTGGTGCATTAATTATATTTGACGGCAATGCTAAAAGACCAATGTAGGAGTAGTAGAAGAAGAAAATATATAACAAAGAGTCGATCTTTGAGCATCAGTTATGCAATAGCAGAGAGCACGAATTCAGCAAGCAAGTCGAGTGTTTTAGTGTTGAGATGCAAAAGAAGGAAAGATAAAGATGAGAGGAATAACTTGTGTTGCTCTGTTTGAGGTAAGTGATTTGTGGTGTAGCAACCAACAATGATGGGACGAGACGGAAAAGTGTGGGAATGGTCGGCTGAACAGTCAAAAGCCGGTGAACGTACGGCACAGGCACAAGCACAAGGACCCAATTTATGCACTGCAATCGACCTCGGCTCGGCCCGGCCTGGCCCACCCCGACAAAGCTAGCTCAGAATGAATCTGGGCTGGGCCAGGGTCGGCCCATTGGATAGGGGTTGGGAGAAAAACAAGCAACATGCTAAATGCATGAAGAATATTTATTGAATCTTGTGTACCAAATGATGTGTACAATCGACATTTGTGTAACCTTCAGCAGATTTTAACACACGACCCCACTTGACTTTAACTTCTGGCCGGAGACTCGCGTGATACATTTGGCTTGAAAATACCTTTTTTAATTTCATCTTGAAGATGTTACCAAAAATCTTAGTAGAATAATAATTTTTCCCATGTTTATTGTTTTTTAATTACGAACCCCAACTTTTCTAATTTTGAATTTTTTTTAAGATGTAACATGATTTGTGTCTTTTCAAATGTCCCGGTACAGTCCATGTGTGTTGCACATGTAAAGATCACATAGTTTCTTGAAAACGTAATAAATCAAATGTGATTAAAAGTATGATTTGAGGATTTTTTTAATTCAAATTTGAATGTTATTAAATAAATGATATGCATTGGTAAATCTTTTTTTCTTTATTCTTACTGACATACCTCCATGATCGTAACATTTCTCCACGGCTCTTAAACTTAAAGGCCCTATCAATGAACAATTATCCTCGTATGTCATAATTTTGTTAATCAACAATAGCATTGGCAATGACAAGAAAAGAAATAATAACGTCTGCAATCGTGTATAGTCATTAGTTTTTCTTAAATGTTCATAAGTTACAATCTTCTTAAAATAATCCGACGGTCGAAACTTGTTATCTTTCAATCCAATTGTCCCGATTACGTGTAGGACCGATTCCATAAATTAGATTTCTCCCTGGCAATAAAATGAAAAAAATTTTAAAAAAAAATCTGGGAAAAAAGAGTAACGGGATAGTCAATCATCAACATATAGTTATCACTTTGTCGATGCATGGTAACGTCCACAAAAAAATCTGTGAGCTTTCTCCCTTGTGTGTTAACCCTCTTTGGCTTAAAGAAATTTGTGGCGGCAAGTTAGAAATGAAGGGAGAGTGGTCTGGATTCGTTTTGTAGTCTGTTTTAGTAGTCTGGTGCGAGACTATGCTATGTTATCCATTTGGCAATTTGTTATATACACGAACTGTGACATAAATTGCCAAAAGAACAACCACGGAAGACAGCACTGCACATCAAAGTTGAGGCTCCCCTTAGATAAATAATTGGCGGATTGAATACACAGATTGTGAAGCCATGTATGTTAGTTCCTAGGTGGTGACTACAAAAGAAGCCGATGACTGATCATTTGA